ATAATTCACATTACATTATTCATACAATAATTTATATTTTTAACAAATCAATCCTATATATTTATGCATATCCTTTATTTTTTATATTTTATTTTACTTTTACACATGTTTTATCTTTTATATTTTTACAAAGTCTATTATTTATATTTTTATAAATATATTCACATTCTAAACCTATAAATTATTTTCAAAATTAATTCTATTCCAAACTTAATTATAAACCTAAAAGTATTTATTAGTTTTTCGATTTCTTATTTTCTTTCAATAAACCAACAAATCAACTAATTTTGGATACACACGTTCAAAACCAGTTAATATTAAAAAGAATAAGCTTACAGAATGGTGCACGCGGCTAACGCAAAGTCACGGATGCGATGCCAATCGAATATAACATCCTTACAATGTACACGTTGATAAATAAATGTAGTAAAGAAAACCTTCTTATCTTTTGATATCCACGTTGATAGTATGTATTCATTGGGAGTAGTTCTACTGAGACGAGCCATACATTAATCCAAATTTTAAATTTCGAAATCCGTCGTATGAAGAAAACTAATCTTTATAGAAGACTGGAATCATCCTTACAGACACCACACATGTCAACATATTCTCGATTGATCTATGATCTTGTGAGCGTTGTCAAATGTTCGTTGCTCTCTCTCCACTTATTTGAAAATATACACTTATGCAAATTAATCTTAATTTTTTAAAATATGTTAAAATAATTAGTATATTTCAAATTTACAACAAAGGAAAGATAAAAAAAGAAACTAACAGAAAATAAAAAACTTTGTATCTCTTCATTTTATTTTTAGTTTTTATTTGTAAATAATAGCTATTTTTCTTTTAGAATTTATTTAGAAAAATATGCGTAGTTATTATCCATAAAATACGAAATCGATAAGAAAGAAATGGTAACTGTTAATGAAGATCTATACATAAAATGTCTCATTGAATTTGATGTGAAAATCGTATTATATAAATACCATAAACTTCCATAATATTCACTATCTTTGTATTTCATGCATTTTTTATTTTTATTTTAATTTATGTTAAAACTTTCAATCCTTTATATTTTTCTATTGTAGATTACATTTAATAAATTTTACTTTATTAAACTCAAATCCAATTTACTGTTCTGTCTACTTATTTTTAAAATAATTTTATTTGTTTTAATTAATTTATGTGTCATAATCCTTGTAAATTTACTTTTAATCCCTTTTACATTGCTCTAAATATATGTCAAACACTTTACAATTATTATTTTAAAATTAAGTTAATTAAATTAATCTTTACTATTTGAAGTCATCCTTCCAATGTTTTCGGTTGAATTCTTTTCTCAAGTTCTAACAATTTGTTATCATAAAATATTAAAATAATAAAAATATCCAAAGGCTGAATTTCTTATAATATTTAATATAAATTTTGATTCTTACATTAATGAATCAAGTACTTATTTTTAATTTATAAAAATATTAAATAAACATCAAATTAAAAATTTTTAATATATTGTTAGCCTAAAAAAATATTCGTTTAAAATATATTTTAAAGAAAAACTATAACTAAGAATTTTCCATTTTCTAATCAGGAATTTCACTTTTTATATAAGCTAATTCTACACAGTTTCGCAGTAGTTGAAATTAAAAGTTGAAGTGTTTGCACCTTTTAGCTTGAACTTAAATAACACATAGTAAAGATTAAAAAAGTTGTTTCGTGTCTGAAAACTTAGCACGTTTTACGTTCTTTAATATTTTTATTCATTTGCATAAAAATAAAAATAAATAAGTAACATAAAGATTTACAGAGACAGCTGGGCTGATCTTTGTGCTTTGTGAGTTGGCACAAATTTCTTATTCTAATAAACCTACATTTCCCTGCTACCTTTATATCCAAACCATAAATACACTCATCATTCATCATCCACGTTGCATATTCCTTCGCAAAATAGATAATACCCTGAGTTTCAAATCCTCCCTTTTGGCCCTCAATGGTCAGATAAGGACATTGTCTATTTATTACTCGATTTATAAAGAAAAATCCATTCATTATATATCCATTACATATACACATTTAAAAAATATATTTTAAAATTTATGAATCTTAAACTAATTTTTTATCAAAGTTCTTATGTATTCTTAGTGTTTTTTAAAGTTGTAAATTTAATCTTTTTTTGTCGTGGTAATATATCTCATTTTTTCTTTAACAAGATTTAGAGTGTCGAGGTTGTTCTTCTTTTTCTTTCAGGTTATTGTGTATTGTCGCGAGTCTCATCTCTTCTTAGACAATTATTTATAGCATCAAGATTGCTCTTTTTTTTTTTCAGATGCATTCATTAAAGAATTTTGATTTTTTTAGGTTTCTCTCATGTTCATCTATGGGTTTTTTCGTTGTTGTCTCTTTTGACCTCTTTTTGTTACTATTGCGTTTGATCCATATATATATGTTTTCTCCCCCGTGACAAAGATGATTTTTGTTAGTTTATTTATAGCTATAGTTACTCTTCAACAATGACTTCTTTATCCACTGATTTCAACAATGCATCCCTTAATGGTGATTTGCAAAAAGATATTTATATGGAGCAACTTCCTAGATTTGTTGCTCAAAGGAGTCTTATAGGTTAGTATTTCATCTTTTATGTCATTTTCGCAAATCAATAACAATTTGGTGTCATTCAAGTGCGGAAACAGGTATTTTTACTTAGTATATTGATTATATTAGTAGTAAGATTACGAGAGTGTTAGGTATATCATATTTATTTTATCTTTAATTAATTTATTATTATTTTTATTTGTATTTTGTGTTTAGTTTATATTTCTTTTATTATAAATAGACGATTATATGTGTATATTTAATACAAAAAAGATAAATATCATACATAGTTTTCAGTATATTCAGTATAATTAATAAAAAATTTATTTATAACTTCAACCCTTCGTTATTAAAATATTAAAATATTCTTATATAATTTAGGTTTTCACATTAAGCTTTAAAGGACAAAAAGATGATAAAATCGTTCTAATCAAACTCATTGTAATAATTACAACGGCTTTCACTCAATATGTTGTAACCAAAGCTAATAATGAAGGAATCAAATTTCTTGTATCAACACCTAGGCAGAGCTTTAAGCCATATAATGGTTTGGTCAATTTGCAAACCAAGTTTTGTTATTCTGTAAAGTCTTTTGTTTGGAGCATATATTTTACCTCTTCTAGGCCTTCATGAAGAAAAACAATTTTTATATCCAATTACTCATGTAGATCAAATGGAGCACATAAGGCTAAAACAACTTAAATTATTGTCAATCTAACAATTGGATATTAAAAACATTTTGCTTAAGTCAATGCCTTCTTTATAAGTATATCACTTCACTTCCAATCTAACATGTCATCGTTGTACTTGATCATTGTCATCTTTTTTGATCTTATAGACCCATTTGTAACCAATGACTTATTGACATTTTAGAAGTGCAACAAGCTTCCATGTCTTATTTTTGTATAGAGCCTTTGTTTCTTCTTGCATCGCCATCATACATAAAGAAGCATCTAAACCGCTCACAACCTCTTGAAAAGTTGAAGGCTCTTCCTCATTCGGAAGACAATATACATCTTGGCTTGTCATAACATATTGTAAGTGCTAAGATGGTTTAACCTTTTCTCATGTTGATCGCTGGTGTCCTCCCTTACTAACTACATTTGGCTCTTGTTCTTCATGCTCTTTTTTGACTAAGAAGAATTATCCAAAGGCTTTCTATTTGTACTATGGTAGTATCCTTTGGTAGTATCCTTTGTAAAGTTGTCATTTGTGTACTTATTTTGCTATTAATTGTCTGTAAAGGAATTAAAAAATTGACTTACTACACTAATTGCAAGGAAATGTTAGGATGAGTAATTGTAAGATCAAGATTTGACATAGGCTATCCTTAATTTGTTATGAGTTTGGTATTAGGATCCATAGGTGTGTCAACAGATTTTGAATACATCAACTCAGTTTTCTCCAAAATATTTATGCATGCTTTCTTTAAGATTTAATAATACCATTGTTGGATTGTACCACCTCAATAGTATCTGTCAATACATATTCTGAATCGTCAAACCGCAGTCGCCGCTCCCTCCGAAATTCCTTTTCATAAATTTCATTAATAATATTTCTTCCCATTTCTTGTAACAAAAGATGCATTCCAAGTTTGTTTTTCCTTTTAACTTTTATGAGACTAAGTTCTATGAGAACTCTTATTCCACTGTCAGCGTCTACTCCGCATCCATTTAGCATCTTCGTAACATAGTCTCTGCCCTCACCAACAAAGGAACAACATATATCAAGGAATAAATCTTTTTCAATTTGATTCCGTAATCCGTCAAAGCTTATTTCCAATTTCTGTCGAACATTATACAGGGGAGTTTTCTCTAATTTTAACATTACACTATTCCATTCTTCTTTTGTCTTTTTAAATAAACAATTTCCAATGACTTCAAGAGCTAGAGGTAGTGCTCCACAGTAAGTGACTACTTGTTTTGAGAGTTCAAGGAAATCTTCAGGTGGATTTGCTTCCTTAAAAGCATGCCAACTGAAAAGCTCAAGGGACTCAATCTCATTCATTTCCTCCACTTCATATACATGGTCAACTTCGAGAACATTGAGTAGACGTACATCTCTTGTTGTAATGATTATTACTGTTCCTCCACCGAACCATTCACGGCATCCCCATAGATCTAACAATGTAAAATTCTCGGTCACATCGTCAAGTACAATTAACACTCTTTTCCCAGTAAGTCTTTCCCGAATCATTCTTGTTCCCATATCAACACTAGGTATCTCCACCTTTGGTTTTAGGACATCTAAAAGAAATTGTTCTTGTAAACGATGATGCCCTCTTCTTCGACTAACTTGTCCAATATTTTCGATGAAACTTTTCTCCGTGAATGTTTCATGAATTTTATTGTAGATGGCTTTGGCAAGGGTGGTTTTCCCAGATCCTCCAGCTCCACTTATCCCTATTATACAAACTTCGCTCGATTTATCTTTTATAGTTTGAATTAGATCTTCCACGTTGGATTGTAATCCAACTGGAAATTTAGTAGCAGACAAGACTGGTAAATTAAGAACGCTCTTAACAATTTTGTCCACTAGTTCAGCATCACTCGTTCAAGTTCAATAGCAAGTCATGTATTAACAAAATTAAAGTACAAGCTTAAAATATGGTTATTGAGCGAGTGACTGATTTACCTGTAATTGCTCTCATCCCATCCAAAGAAATTTGCAGCTTTGGTGAGTGCGTGGCTCCACCTGGACATGCCATGCTCCAGTTCTTCTCCTGAGAAAGTTCGGGGTCCAGATTTTTCAAAGGCTTTTCCAAACTCACCCATCTGAAAGCGTACATCAAATGGCTGATTTATACTGATTTTCAATTTTACGTTGTTAGCATATCTAAACTCATGAAAAGCGTGAAAAGTTATAATTTTCAACAATTTAATCAGTTTTTAACCTACTAATATTAACCCACTCATTTTCTCTATTAGGAATTTTAATGAAATTTACACCATCCAATGTTGGTCTATCTAATAAGGTTTCGATAAACCTTTACTCAGAGATCTGTTTAGCCTTCTTCTTCACTATAGTTGGATATTCCATCCACCTTCAATCCTATTTAGCTGGTTTTTTCCTCCTATTCAAATTCACCATGCAGTGAATTTACTTGTTAATATTATTCCCTTCTACAATCCATATATCCCTTGATCTTTGTCTCAATATTGATTCATCGTATTTTGCTAAATTCCACATTTGCTTTGCAGCACCTTCTTGGTTATGCAGTCCACATCTTGAAGGAAGAGCACGCTACCTTTGTGTTCAATACCAAAATATAACTTCAAGGAGGATTAATTTGTTACTTTAAAAGCTATCCAAGATATGAATAATAAAAACCAAAGTAGACTCTTAAGGTTATCTCACAAAATCAAAGTTTATTCAATCTTCAGAAGTGATTGCAAGAGAATGGTGACACCTTACTTATAAAAGTGATTACTGCAACAAGATATAGGAAGGAACTTTCTATTCAAACAACATTTGAAAATGCAAAATTTCAAGTTTATCATAACATGTGTCAATTTTACAACCGGAATAAAGTCTAAAATGTCAATAAAAATGTTACCCACGATAGTATAAATATTAATTGTACTTGTCAAAATAGTTATTTTTTTTAAATCTTTTAAAAGATTATATTTGGTCATATCAAATGAATATTAATTTATAAGAATTAAGTTCAAAATGTTTTTAACAAAATTAAAATAATTTGTAAGATCATGGCTATAATTGCAATAAAAAAATAGTTAAAAACCGAATATTAAAAACTTACAACTGAAAACTATATGAATGTCAATTGAAAAGATTGATATATTTAATTATAAATAAAACACATCAGAAAAGAGTAACAACGAGAAGTTAAATTAAAATTTGGTTCATTTAGTCTTAATTAAAGGGATGAGGCTAAGGTGCTTATTATGATGAAACAGAAAACAGAGACTACCTAGCACAGAGAAAAACAGAACACCTAACAGAATATCGAACAATGTCTGTCTTTATTTCATAATGCATGTCTTTTTTTAAGAAGATTTCCAATGAGATATTATATGTTAAAAGGGAAAAGAATTGAAAAAGTAACAAGAAAACAAATACAATAAACAGCTCAAGTGACGCCAAGGAAGCACAATGTGAGCAGTGAGAAACAGGATAAAGCAAACATGAATTTCTTAACTATAAGCTATACTCTAAAGTAAAATAAGGAAAGGATGGAAAAAATGAATTGCAATCAAGGGCACAGATTAATTCCATA